TACAGAATTTTTATAGGTTTATATCACTGACAGAATGCTATACCCAGTTAAAATTTAATTCCTAGGTATAATTGCTTAAATATATCAATGTGTCAAATTAACATGTTCAAAAATTCATACACAAGATGTTTCTTTGATTTGTTTATTAATACAAAAGTAGTATGTAGCAATTACTTATATTCATAAGTAATGTTAAATGTGACAGTTTGATTATTACATATATACTAATTTAAAGATGAAATAATATGCTTTCTTTTCACCATCAATCAGAAGATTTGATCAGAATGTGTTGAGAAGATTGGAGAGATTATGAAAAGTTATGGGTAGAAATAGACACTGAAGTCCTTGCATCTATTTTTTCTATTGATTATTTTGCTAGAATACACCACATTCTGAATTTTAAGGCACATAGGAGCTTTTAATGAGCTGTTTTGCATTTGTGGCAGTTATTTCTCAGGCTCCAAATTAATCACTATATATCAATACAAATTTACACTTATAAGAAGAAATGAGTTAAACAATACTTCAAACATAAATTGAAACTCTATTAGTAATATGCATGATTATTTCTAAACAGAGATCCATTCAGCCACTAAATCAAGAACTTTTTTTTGTGCAACTTGGATAATTGATGTGACCATCAATGCACATTGTATGAAATGGAGGTGATTCATTTGCCTCTTTATATCCACTTATACATGAAAATTTGACATAGTCTCCTGATTTGGAATAGAGCTTCTGGCCTCTTATCCATCTGTAAGTTATGTTATGTCTTTTCATGATCTCTTCTGAAATTACACATGGGTCTGAAAGAAAAATTACCAAAAGTTTATTAATACATACACTTATATATACTTAGTTTTCGAGTCCAATTCCTCAAAGTTTTTAAAAACCTGTATTAAACTATCATATAAATTTAGTTCATATTGGATAGAAAATGGTGTCAAAACAATGTTTTTAATGAGATAATTAGATTTCAACAAAAAGGATTCCTAATGTCAATGAAAGAATTCAGGACATTCAATGTTTTTGTATTTCTTTAGGTATTGGGCAAATAAAAAATTTGAACTTTGACCTGTAAATGATATTCAGACCTAACATTCAGTGAGATGAATATACTGAAAAATACTGCTCCTACTAAACCAAATCATAATTACTATCATAATATTCATCATTCAATCACAAAGCTATAAGTATGAGTAGTTACTATTGTATTATAAATTTGATTTTCATAGTTTTAAAATTATACCTACCAAATTACCACACTGGATAAGTGACTAACCTGCTTGTAAAGCAGGTCCTACAACCAACACCTGGGACCCTGGCCTTCCTTACATTTCTAGAAAGCAAAAGGAGTTAATATTCAAGTTTATGCTGTCTCCAACCAATTGTTTAGTGCTACTATCCAGCCCTATAGTGCCTCTAATCACACGCTACTATAAAGGCTTGGACTTATATATCTTAATTAAGGGAGCCATTTTAGGGTTGGCAAGAGCCTTGACTATAGAGGAGTTCCCAGGGGTCCAGAGAGATGTCCCCAACTAGGTCCTCGGGCAGCTGAGGAGAGAGAGCTTGAAATGGCCCGATCCTATAGCCATACTAATGAATATCTTGCATATCACCATAGAACCTTCATCTAGCGATGGATGGAGATAGAGACAGAGACCCAGATTGGAGCAATGGACTGAGCTCCCAAGGTCCAAATGAGGAACAGAAGGAGTGAGAACATGAGCAAGGAAGTCAAGATCGCGAGGGGCACCCACCCACTGAGATGGTGGGGCTGATCTATTGGGAGTTCACCAAGGCCAGCTGGACTGGGACTGAAAAAGCATGGGATAAAACCAGACTCTCTGAATATGGTGGACAATGAGGGCTGCTGAGAAGCCAAGGACAATGGCACTGGGTTTTGATCCTAATGCACGTACTGACTTTGTGGGAGCCTAGCCTGTTTGGATGCTCACCTTCCTAGACCTGGATGGAGGGGGGTACCTTGGACTTCCCACAGGGCAGGGAACCCTGACTGCTCTTTGGACTGGAAAGGGAGGGGGAGTGGGGGTATGGGGAGTTGGAAGGGGGAAAAGGGACGCAGTGAGGAGGCGGAAATTTTTAATTAAAAAAAAATTAATAAAATAAAAGGCTTGGACTAAGTGCTACAAAGTGGTTACCAAATTCTCTGAACCACCCTCCAGTGCAGCATCTGATCCCATGCCACTGTCTAGTCAGAAGAAAACCATACTGATCACTCTCTTCTGAGGTTTCCAGGAAAAATAACCCTTGAGAGTAGCAAATTTGCCCATAAAAGTTTCTGAGAAAACCTATCTTTTGTGAGCCACCATACACAATGTAGGAATTTGACAACAATCACCCTGCACCCTGTGCTATCTCTACCACCTCATCTGAGCTAATGAGTGTCCCAGTTTCATTATAATTCACAGAAATTATAATGAAATGGTGGTTCATGTTGTGCCCAAAGGTATTAATTACAAATAATCCATAGGTACTTCAATAAATTAACTCCTACACTGCAGCACAAGATACATCTCCAGTAGAAAAGTGTCCATTGATGTAGTGCATGAAAATATGTTCAGAAAGATGTGTCAAAAAAACTACAAGAAATATGAAGAAATGAAGGGCAAAAAGACCTAAAAATAGTAGGGATAGAAGAAGGAGAGGAACTCCAGCTCAAAGGCACAGAAAACATATTCAACAAAATCATAGAAGGAAACTTTCCCAACCTAAAGATGCCTATGAAGGTACAAAAAGCTGATGAACACCAAATAGATTGAACAAAAAAACGTTCCCTGTCCATGTAATAATCAAAATACTAAACATACAGGACAAAGAAAAATACTAAGAGCCACAAAGGAAAAAGGCCAAGTAAAATATACAGGCAGACCTGTCAGAATCATACCTTAATTATCAGTGTAAATCATGAAAACCCGAAGGTCCTGGACAGGTGTCTTGTAGACACTAAAAGGCCATGGATGAAAACCCAGACTATTATGCCCAGAAAAACTTTCAATCACCATTGATGGAGACAACAAGGTAGTTCATGACAAAACTGAATTTAAAAAATACCTATCCACAAGCCCAATCATATAGAAAGTATTACAGGGAAAACTCCAATTCATAGAAGCTAGTTGAATCCACAAAAACATAGACAACAGACAGCCTCACACCAAAAAAAAAAAGAAGAGAAATACTCAAACAATATCTCTGAAAAATAACAAGAATTAACTATTACTGGCCATTAATATCTCTTAATATCAATGGACTCCATTCACCCAAAGACACAGACTGACAGGATGAATAAGAAAACAAGATACATCCTTCTTCTGCAGATGAGAAACACACCTCAAAGACAGACATTACCTCAGTGTTAGGAGTTGGGAAAAGATTTTCCAATAAAATGGACCCAAGGAACAAGCGGATGTAGCTATCCTAATATCTAACTAAAGAGAGTTCAAACTAAATTCAATCAGAAGAGATGGAGAATGACACTTCAAACTCATCATGGAAAAATATATCAAAATGAGGTCACAATCCTAAAAATCTATGCCCCAAAAGCTTAACTCACACATCAAACTCTACACACTAATAAAAGGAGACTTCAACACCCCATTCTCCACAATGGACAGCTCAACCAGACAGAAATTTAACAGATAAGAAAGAGAACTAACAGATGTCATGACTCAAATGGACTTAACAGACATCTATAGAACATGCCACCCAAACACAAAAGAATATACGTTCTTCTCAGAATCTCATGGAACCATCTCAAAAATTGACCACATACTTGGTAACAAAGCAAACAGAAACAGATACTAAAAAATTAAAATAACACCCTTTATTTTATCAGATCACTAGACTTAAGTTAAAATTCAATGACAACACTAATCGCAGAAAACCTACACACTCATGGAAACCGAACAATGCTCCACTGATTCACCCCTGGGTCAAGGAGGAAGTAAAGAAAGAAATTAAAGACTTTCTAGAATTCAACTAAAATGAATGCACAACATACCCATAACTACATGACTCTTCAAAAGTAGTGCTAAGAGGAAAGTGCATAGCACTAAGTGCCTACATAGAGAAAGTGGAGAAATCTCATACTAGAGACTTAACAGCACATCTGAAAGCTCTAGAATAAAAAGACAAAGAAGCAGACTTACCCATAAGTAGATGACAGAGAATATTCAAATTGAGAACTGAAATTAATAAAATAGAAACAAATAAAACAATAAAAAGAATCAATTAAACAAAGACCTGGTTCTTTGAGAATATCCACAAGATAAATAAACCCTTACCCAAACGTATCAAATGGCAGAAATAGAATATCCAAATTAACAAAATTGGAAATGAAAAGAGTCATACAACAACAGACACCAAGGATCAGAAAATCACTAGGTCATATTTCAGAAACCTGTCCTCCACTAAATTGGAAACTAAAAACAACAGACAATTTTATATATAGGTACCACATACCAAAATTAAATCAAGACCATCTGAACAATTTAAACAGATGTATAGCTTGTAAGAAAATAGAAGGAGTCATCAAAAGCCTCCCAACAACAGCAAACACCCAGGGTTGGATGATTTCAGTGCATAATTCTATCAGAACTTCAAAGAAGAGCTAATTTCTATACTCCTCAAAGTTTTCCACATAGGAAAAACAGAAGGAACATTGCCAAACTCTTTTTATGAGACTAAAGTTACCCTGATACTGAAACCACACAAAGACTCAACCAAGAAATAGAATTGCAGAAAATCTTCATCATGATCATTGATGCAAACATACTCAATAAAATTCTGGAAAACTGAATCCAAGAACACATAAAAAAATGTTCCACTATGACCAATTTGGCTTCATCTTAGAAGTTCAGGTAGGTTTTGATATATGAAAATCTAACAATTCAATCCACCATATAGATTAAAGGAAATTTAAAAAAAAAAACATATGATCATCTCTTCAAGATAAATGTCTTCAAAAGATAAGGTATTTAAGGAACATTTCTAAACATAATAAAAATTATATAGCAAGTTGACAGACAATATCAAATTAGAAGCAACTCAAAGTAATTTCACTAAAATCAGGAGAAAGACAGTGATGTCTAATCTCTCCATATCTGTTAAACATAATACTAAAAGTCTTATTTAGAGCAATTAAACAACAAAAGGAGATCAAGAAAAACATCATCATTCAAAATAGTCACAAATAGCATAAAATGTCTTGGTTTAACACTAACCAAAGAAATGAGAGACCTGTCCAACAAGAACTTTAAGTCTTTGAAAAAAGAAACTTAAGAAGGTATCAGAAAATGGTAAGATCTCCTATTCTCTTGGATAGGTATGATCATTATAATAAATATGAAAATCCTACCAAAATCAATTTACATATTCAGTGCAATCCCCAGAAAAATCCCCACAAAATTCTTCACAGAACTTGACAGAACAATACTAAATACTTTTATGACAATGCAAAAAAATAAATAAATAAAAAAGATAGCCAAAACTATCAATAAATCTGGCACTAAAGGAATTCCCAGGAATTCACAAGGATGACCCCAGCTAAGGCCCTAAGCAATTGTGGGTAGGGTGCCAGAACTGGTCTTGCCTTATAGTCAGACTGATGACTATCTTAAACGTTATCATAGAACCTTTACCCAGCAAGTGATAGAGATCCACATCAGGACAGTGAGCTGATCTCCCAAAGTCCAATTGAAGAGAGGGAGGAGCAACAATAAGAACAGAAGTGCCAAGACCAAGATGGGGATATCCACAAAGACAGACAACCTGTGCCAATAGGAGCCCACCAATTCTTACCTCACAGTGGAGAAACCAGTATAGGATCAAACTAGGCCCTCTGAATGTGGGTGAAAGTTGTATGGCTGGGGAAGACTGTGGGGACAACGCTGGATGTATGGCTTTTTGGAACCCATTCTCTTTGGAGGGATACCTTCCTCGGCCTAGATATAGTGGGGAGGGACTTGTTCCTGCCTCAAAGCAATGTGCTAGAAATAGGTGACTCTTTATGTCACCTATTTCTTTACCCTCTCTGAGGAGTGGAATGGGAGTAGGGGGAAACCTCGAGGGTGTGGAAGAGAGGAAGTAGTAGGAAATGGGATTAGTATGTGAAATGAGAAAAGATATTTTTTAAATAAATAAATAATTGTTCTGTAGGAATTCTTAGAAAAGGTCCACCAGAATGAACTTTATTGCCTAATAGGAAAGTAAAGATAATACAACATATATATATATATATACAGTAATGTATATATATATATATAGTAATGTACTGCCTTACATTAATAGGATGAATGGCAAGTTAAGAGATCATTTCAATATAAAAAAGGAAAGCATATGAGAAAACTTGGTATATCTACAAGGTTAAAAATGACTGAACAGTTTAAGCATATAAAAGAGAGTACAGCAGAATCATCAAATGCCATAAAAGGTAGGTACAGTGGAAAATTGACTCTATGCATTGTTGGAGTGGCTTCCTCCAGGACCAGATAGGAACAGATGCAGACACCAATAGCTGTACAATATGGAGAGAGAGAGAGAGAGAGAGAGAGAGAGAGAGAGAGAGAGATTAAACTGAAGATCTCCATCAAATCCTTCATCTGAGAGCTGAAGTAACTGCACAGAAAAGGAGTTGGAAAGATTGTAAGAATCAGAGGGGATGGAGGACAACAGGAAAACAAGATCCTGAGAATCAACTAAGCAAGGCTTATGTGAGCTCACAAAGACTAAAGCAGCAAACACAGCGCCTATACGGCTCTAAACCAGTTCCTATGCACATATGTTATAGCTATTAGCTTAGTATTTTTATGAGACTTCTGAGTATTAGAATGAGCAGATCTCTGACTCTTTTGCCTGCTCTTGGGATTTCATTTCCTGTTGGGTTGCCATGTCCAACATCCATGAAAATGTTCACTTCATCTTATATTTCAATTTGTCATGTTTGGTTTTGATCTCTTAGAAGCTTATTCTTTTCTAACAGACAGAAAGGGAGTAGATATTGAGGGGAGGTGTTATGGAAAAGAACTAGGAGTAGAGGGAGAGGAAACTATAATAAGGATATATTGTATTAAAAAACTATTTTTAATTAATTTAAATTTACTATGTTATCAGCAATAAAAAGACATCCATTCTCTCTAATCATTTTTGCTACAGTATCAGAATTTGAATTATTATAATAAAGAAGATAAAATATACAATTACTGAATTAAAAGTCAAATCATTCTTACTTGAGCATTATATATTTCTATACAAGGTAAATCTTAAAGACTTAACCAAAATATGAAAATTGAAAACAAAACTGATTAGGTAGTTCATTCATTGTTCAGTATACAGAATTGTCAATATTCATTGTTATTATATGAAAATCAGTTTCTTTCTATAGACCATTTTTTTCTGCAAATTAACAATGAAAGGAATTTCATTATCATTAACACCAAAAACTTAATCTAGCAATGAACTTAACAACTGAAGTGCAAGAATTTATCCATGACTATTGGTTAACTGGTGAAAAAACCATAAAAGACAAAATGGAAAAATCTTGTATGTTAAATTTTTAGAAAAATCAATATCAGTATTAATATTAAAATGTACATAATTCAATTGCCAATTATTATACTCCATGAAACACCATTGAAACACCAATACCATTTTCATACAAATGGATGGGGGACCCCAAAACTTCAATGGATGTACAATAAAATGTGTAGACAACTAAAACTTGAAAGAAAAGAAAAATCCAGAAGATATCATAATACCTTATTTCAATATACACCAGGAACCCCTCAATAGCCAGAACAATATGACACTGGGATCAACAATCAAGTGAATGAGAAAAGAGATTTGAAAAATTGAACAGTTTCCAACATATGTTGGAAAACTGATAGTATATTCAATAAATGATACAAGAATAATCAATATCCATATGGAGAGAATTAAAAATTGAATCCTATATCTCCTTCTAGGCAAAAATCAACCCAAAGTTGATTAAAGACATAAATGTAAGAACAAGATGGTAAACTACAAGGAAACCAACAGAAAAACTCCTCATTGGGTTTGGACACTTAATATTTAGATGGGATCCCAAATCACAAGGCAAAAAACAAACCTTCATAAATGGAGGTTATCACAATGAAATGCTTGTATATAGCAGAGAACATAATCAATATAATAAAGCAGTGATAGCCTATAGAATTGGAGAAAATGTTGAATTAATTGTTGTCAGGGTTTTATAGTTGTTTCCTATCTCAAAAATACAAATGGAACAAAAGAAACTTGAAATCTACTAATGGGAATATGAGTTTGAGTAGTTACTACAGACAATAATATGAGATTCCATATACTGTTGTGGTATCCCTCTTTTGATATGAACCCAGAAGAAAAGTAACCAACCTACTCAACTTGTATTTATATGTTTATTGCACATTGCTATGTCAACTATGATGGGATAACTGTCTGGGTCCCCACCAATTGATGAAGTTATAAAGATAACATAGTATATTTGTATGTCAAATATGGTTTGGACATTATCAATAATTTTTTATTATTTTAGTTAGAAAAGGGAATTGAAGGACTTTAAGTGAAGTGAGCAAAACACAAGAATACAAGTCCTTCATGTTCTTTCTCACACAATGGAAGAAAAACTAAAATTCCTCTAGACTGCCTGACAGTGATTAGTAGAAGTTAGATCATTTATCATAGGGAAGGGGAGCTTCTATGAGGCACATGGACTTAATAACTGCAAGGTCTATACAGGTGTGGTATATGTAGAAGAGTGGCCCCTGTATTGAATGGTTTTCTGTGTCAAACAGATACTTGACACAAGCTGGAGTCATCAGAGAGGAAGGAATTTCAATTGAGGAAATGCCTCCATAACATCCAGCTGTAAGGCTTTTTCTCAGTTAGTGATCAGTGTGGAAGGGACCAGTCCATGGCAGTCCTGGCAGTCCTAGAGTCTATAAAAAGGCAGGCTTAACAAGCCGTAAAAAGTAAGCCAGTAAGCAGCACCCCTCCATGGCCTCTACATCAGCTCCTGCCTCCAGGATCCTGTTCTGTTTGATTTCCTCTGCTCACTTCCTTTGATAATAAGTAGAAATATAGAAGCAAAAGACAAATAAAACTCTTTACTACCCAACTTGTTTTTGATAATGTTGTCTCATCACAGCAATAGAAACCCTAACTACAGCCGCCTCCACTTATTTATATGTTGCTTATTTATCAGGAAGTGGTACCACTTGAGTAGGACTGGGCTATGGCTTTGGTGGAGAAGGTGTAGCCTTGTTAGAAATGTGTCTCTGGGTTGTCTATAGCATCCTGCTGACTTTAGAGTCAGAGAACTCTCAGCTATTTCCCCAACACAAAGTCTGCTTATGTGCTGCCGTGCTCCCCCCACATCATGATAATGAACTAACCTCTGACACTGTAAGCAATCCCTGCTTAAATGCTTTCTTTTACAAGATTTGCTAGGGTCATGGGGTCTTTTCAAAACAACTGAACATCAACCGAGGCAATTGGTATGGAAATATCATGCTGGCACCAAGTTTTATGGACATCAATACATGTGAGTGAAAACACAATAATAAAGAATAAGTTGCATAATTATATTTGTCAGCTATTTTTATATAAAAAGAATCCATTAATCTTGTTTCCCTCACATGTTGATATTTGGCAGTGAAGCACTAAGCAACAGACTGCTTTTAATCTGGGAATGTTCTTTATTAACAGAAAAATATACATATCAAGAAACTGAATCTCCTATGATCTATGAGAAAGAGGTACTTACGTAAACATTTTGGTGGCTCAGACCACTCTCCATTGCTACATGTTATTTTCTTGTTGCCCTGCAGTTGGTACAAGGACTGGCACTGATATTCAACTGACGATGATGGTTCATATATTCGTAAAGGGAAGGAGGTGATGTCCCCATTGTCAATAGGTGGAGGGGGCCCACATTTCCCTGTTGAATCTAAGAATGACAACAATTGAATGATTTACAGATCAAATCAAAGTACAGGCTTAAACAGACCTAATGAAAGCACAGTTTAAACAAGACTTTAGTGATTTCAGGCTACATAAATTATTCCATAAGGAAATTTCAATCACATAAACTTAGAGTTACAAGTTCTTCCTTCATTCTTACCTAAAACATTTACTTAAATGGACCAAGCATGTGTGTTCTGAAGCTTTCTTGTGTTAGTATTGTCTTAACAGCTCCTAAACATATAGATGCCAGTGAAGACAGGCAGGATTTTTTTTTAAGTTACTGGAGTATTTAATGTTCTATGTATTCCTAATCTTCATCATTATTTTTAGAAACATATTTATAGAGAAGAATTCAAAGCTTTTAAAGTTACAGAAGGAAAATGAGGCTCTCCTGATTCATCGTAGAGATAAAGTAAGTATACTCTTCTCTTTGTTATACTTTTGCTAGTTACAACAGGAATTCATGTACATATTATTTTTAGTACACAAAATAAGAAATTGAGAATCTAGTTATGAGATTCAGTCCTCAATTAATTGCACAATGCTATGTGATATTTGTTTCTCTTCTGTACTTCTGATTGTGCTGTTGAGGTCACAGGAGAAGACTGAAATTAAGTACTAATAGATTATACTGTATCCTTTGACTACCAGGAGACTCATTTTCTGTGCTGAGGAGTTCCATCCAGACGGGAACTGTTCCTGCTCCTGCACTGAGGAGATCCACCCAGAGAGTCAGTCACAGCAAAGATTGGAACAAGATACCAAGACTCTCCTGGCTCCATTTGAAGGAAGAGATGGGCAGGCACCAATACAAGAATTCCTCCAACAACCTGAAAGGCAACATGACATCACCAGAATCCAGGGATCATGAAACAGGAAGAATTGAACACCCTGATCCAAAAGAAATAGAAGAAATCGACATTAAATGGAACATTATGAAAATAATAGAGGACCTTAAACAGGATGTGGAAAAACTGCTGTAAAGAAATGAATAACAATGATAACAAACAAAAGTGTAGAGGAAATGAATAAATCTCTCAAAGATACCCAAGAAAAACAAGAAAAAAAAAGAAAAGAAAAAGCAATCAAACAGGTAAGGGAAACAGTTCAAGACTTGAAAAATGAAATGGAGGTAATGAAAAAAACACAAACCCAGGAAAGGCTGAATATGGAAAATCTGGGTAAACGAACAGGAACTACAGAGACAAGTATTACCAACAGAATACAAGAGATAGAAGAAAGAATCTCAGACACTGAAAATACTATAGAGGAAATAAACTCACTGATTAAAGAACAAAACAAATCCAACAAAATCTTAACGCAAAACATCTAGGAAATCTAGAACACCATGAAAAGACCAAATCTAAGAATAATAGGGGTAGAAGAAGAAGAATTACAGCTCAGTGGCCCAGAAAATATATTCAACAAAATTATAGAAGAAAACTTTCCCAACCTAAAGAAAGATATTCCTATGAAGGTTCAAGAAGCATATAGAACAACAAATAGACGGGATCAAAAAAAAAAAAAAAAGAAAGAAAGAAAACATCCCTTCGCCATATAATAATCAAAACACAAAACATACAGAATAAAGAACAAATATTAAGAGCTTCAAGGGAAAAAAGTCAAGTAACATATAAAGGCAAACCTATCAGAATTACACCTGACTACTCTATGGAAACCATGAAAGCGAGAAGGTTTTGGATAGATGTGCTGCAGACACTAAGAGACCATGGATGCAAGTCCAGACTACTATACCCAGCAAAGCTTGCATTCACCATCAATGGAGAAAACAAGATATTCCAGGACAAAAATAGATATAAACAATACATAGCCACAAACCCAGCCTTATAGTAAATACTAGAAAGAAAACCACAAACAATGGAAGCCAACAACACCCATAATAATACAAACATCTGACAATCCTCCACCAGCACAACTCAAAGAAGGGAAACACACAAATTCTAACACCAGAAAAAATAACCAGAGTTTACAACCATTGGTCATTAATATCACTTAATATCAATGGATTCAATTCATGTATAAAGAGGCACAGGTTAAGAGAATGGATATGAAATCAGGATCCAATATTCTGCTGTTTAAAAGAAACACACCTCAAAAGCAAAAACAGACACTACCTCAGAGTAAAGGGTTGGGAAAAGGGTTTTCAATCAAATGGACCAAAGAAACAAGCAGGTGTGGCTATATTAATATCTAACAAAGTTGATTTTAAACTAAAATCAATCAGAAGAGGTGGAGATGGACACTTTATACTCATAACAGGAACAATTAATCAGGAGGAAGTCTCAATTTAGAATATCTATGCCCCTAATATAAAACACCCACCTATGTAAAAGAAACATTACTAGAACTCAAAGCATACATCAAACCCCACACTCTAGTAGTAGAAGACTTCAACCCTCCGGTCTCACCAATGAACAGGTCAACCAGATAGAAACTTAACAGAGAAATAAGAGAACTATCAGATGTAATGAACCAAATGGACTTAACAGACATCTATAGAATATTTTCCAAAGAATATACCTTCTTCTCAGCATCTCATAAAACATTCTCAAGAATTGATCACATAATTGGTAACAAAGCAAACATCCATAGATACAAAGAAATTGTAGTAACCACCTTTGTATTATCAGATCACCATGGAATAAAGTTAGAATTCAACAACAATTCTAACGCCAGAAAGCCTAGAAACTCATGGAAACTGAACAGTCAACTACTGAACCACACCGGGATCAAGGAAGAAATAAAGAAAGAAATTAGTCTTCCTTTAGAATTCAATGAAAATAAAGACAAATCATATCCAAACCTATGCGACACTATGAAAGCAGTTCTAAGAGGAAAATTCATTGTACTAAGTGCCCACATAAAGTAAATGAAGAAAGCACACAATAGAGACTTAAGAGTACACCTGAAAGCTGTAGAAAAAAAAAAGAGGCAGATTCATCCAGGAGGAATAAAAGACTGGAAATAATCAAACTGAGGGCTGAAATCAACAAAATAGAAACACAGAAAACAATCCAAAGAATCAATGAAACAAAAAGCTGGTTCCTGGAGAAAATCAACAAGATTGACAAACCCCTGTCCAAACTAATCAAATGGCAGAGAGAACACACAAATTAACAAGATCAGAAATGAAAAGGGGAACATAACCACAGACACAGAGGAAATTCAGAGATTCATTAGATCTTAATACAAAAGCCTGTATGCCACAAAATTGGAAAATGTAAAAGAAATGGACACTTTTTTAGATAAGCACCATATTAAAATTAAATCAAGACCAGGTGAACAGTTTAAATAGACATGTAAGTCACGAGGAATTAGAAGCTGTCATCAGAAATCTCCCTACCAAAAAAAGACCTGGAACAGATGGTTTTAATGCAGAATTCTACCAGAACTTCCAAGAGGAGCTAATACCTATACTCCTTAATGTTTTTCACAAAATAGAAACAGAAGAGTCATTGCCAAACACCTTTTATGAAGCTACAGTCACCCTGATATCAAAACCACAAAAAGACTTAACCAAGGAAGAGAATTACAGACCAATCTCACTCATGAACATTGATGCAAAAATTCTTAATTAAATAATGGAAAATTGAATCCAAGAACAGATCCAAAAAATTATCCCTTATGGTCACATAGGCTTCATCCCAGGGAGACAGGGCTGGTTCAATCAATGTAATCCACTGTATAAATAAATTGAAGGAAAAAAAAACATATAATCATTTCATTAGATGCTGAAAAAACATTTGACAAAATTCAACACCGCTTTATGATAAAGGTCTTGGAGAGATTAGGGATACAAGGTTCATTCCTAAATATAATAAAAGCAATATACAGCAAACCAACAGCTGACATTAAATTAAACACAGGGAAACTCAAAGCCATCCCACTAAAATCAGGAACAAGACAAGGCTGTCCACTCTCTCCATACCTCTTCAATATAGTGCTTGAAGTTCTAGCAAAGCAATAAGACAGCATAAGGAGATAAAGGGGATTCGAATTGGAAAGGGAGAAGTCAAACTTTCGTTATTTGCAGATGATATGATAGTGTACATGATCAACCCCAAAAACTCTACCAAAGAACTTCTACACCTTTAGTAATGTGGAAGGATACAAGATCAACTCCAAAAACTCAGTTGCCCTCTTATATACTAAGAACAAAGAAGCAGAGAAAGAAATCAGAGAAACATCCCCTTTTGCAATAGCCACAAATGACATAAAGTATCTTGGGGTAACTCTAACTAAGGAAGGGAAAGATCTATTTGACAAGAACTTTAAGTGTTTGAAGAAAGAAATTGAAGAGGATACCAGAAAATGGAAGGATCTCCCATGCTCTTAGATTGGGAGGATCAACATAGTAAAAATGCCAATTCTACCGAAAGAAATATATATAGATTCAATGCAATCCCCATCAAAATCCCAACAAAATTCTTCACAGACCTTGAGAGAACAATAATCAACTTTATATGGAAAAACAAAAAACCCAAGATAGCTAAAACAATCCTATACAATAAAAGTACTTCCGGAGGCATTACCATCCCTGACTTCAAACTCTATTACACCGCTACAGTAATGACAACAGCTTGGTATTGGCACAAAAACAGAGATGTTGACCAATGGAATTGAATCAAAGACCCAGATATTAAGCCACTAACCTATGAACACCTGATTTTTGACAAGGGAGCTAAAATTATACAAAGGAAGAAAGAAAGCATCTTTAACAAATGGTGCTAGCATAACTGGATGCCAACCTGTAGAAGAATAAAAATAGATCTATATCTACCACCATGCACAAAACTCAAGTCCACATGGATTAAACACCTCAATATTAATCTGACCACACTGAACCTGATAGAAGAGAAAGTGGGAAGTAGACTGCAACACATGAGCACAGGAGACCACTTTCTACATAGAACCCCAGTAGCACAGACAATAAGAGCAACAATGAATAAATGGGACCTCCTGAAACTGAGAAGCTTCTGTAAAGCAAAGGACACTGTCCTTAAGACAAAAAGGCAACCTAATGATTGGGAGAAGATCTTCACCAACCCCACATCAGATAAAGGTCTGATTTGTAAAATATATAAAGAACTCAAGAAACTAGACTTTAAAACTGTAATTAACCCAATTAAAAAATGGGGTACTGAACTAAACAGAGAATTCTCAACAGAAGAAGTTCAAATGGCCAAAAGACACTTAAGGTCATGCTCAACCATGATCAGGGAAATGCAAATCAAAACAACTTTGAGGTATCATCTTACACCTGTCAGAATAGCTAAAATCAAAAACATCAACGATAGCCTATGCTGGAGAGGATGTGGAGTAAGGGAAACACTCACTCATTGTTGGCGGGAATGCAAATTTGTGCAACCACTTTGGAAATCAGTGTGGCAGTTTCTCAGGAAACTGTAGTCAGCCTACTTCAGGAACCAGCTATTCCACTCTTGGGAATATACCCAAGAGATGCCCAATCATACTACAAAAGCATTTGTTCAACTATGTTCATAGCAGCACTATTTGTAATATCCAGAACGTGTAAACAACCTAGATGACCTCAACAGAAGAAAGATAAAGAAGGTGTGGTACATATACACTTTAGAGTTTTACTCAGCGGTAAAAAAAAATGACATCTTGAATTTTGCGTGCAAATGGATGGAAATAGAAAACACTTTACTGAGTGAGATAACCTAGATCCAAAAAGATGAATATGGTTTGTACTCACTCATAAGTGGATACTAGTCATAAATAAGGGACATTGAGCCTATAATTCGTGATCCTAGAGAAGCTAAATAAGAAGGTGAACCCAAAGAAAAACATATAGTTATCTTCCTGGATATTGGAAATGGACTGGATTGTCAGGCAGGGGTTGGGGGCAAGTGGGTGGGGTGGGGTGGAGGTAAAGGGAAATGGAGAGAGAGAAGGCAGATCGGGAGGATGGAGAGACCCTGGGGGAATGTAATGGTTGAGATGGAGGAAGGGTGGATATGGGAGTAGGAAAGTATATATCTTAATTAAGCCATTTTAGGGTTGGCAAGAGACTTGACTCTAGAGGGGTTCCCAGGTGTCCTCGGAGATATCTCCAGCTTGGACCCTGAGCAATGGAGGAGAGGGTGCCTGAACTTGTCTTGTCCCATAGTCAGACTGGTGATTATCTTGAATATTACCATAAAACCTTCATCTGGCAATGGATGGAGATAGAGACAGAGACCCACATTGGAGCACTGGACTGAGCTCCCAAGGTCCAAATAAGGAACAGAAGGAGGGAGATCATGGGCAAGGAAGTGAGGACCGCAAGGGGTGCGTCCACCCACTGAGATAGTGGGACTGTTCTAATGGGAGCTCACCAAGACCAGCTGGATTGGAACTGATAGAGCATGTGATCAAACCAGACTCTCTGAAGGTGGCTGATGGTGGGGGCTGACTGAGAAGCCAATGACAGTAGCACTAGGTTTTGATTCTACTGCATGGACGAACTTTGTGGGAGCCTAGTCTGTTTGGATGCTCACCTTCCTAGACCTGGGTGGAGTGGGGAGGACCTTGGACTTCCCACAAGGCAGGGAACACTGACTGCTCTTTGGACTGGAGAGGGAAGAGGAGGGGTAGTGGGGAAGGGGAGGGAATTGGGAAAAGGGGAGGAAGTGGAAATTTTTAAATAATAATAATAATAATAAAAACACCTGTGACAGCCTTTTTTGTCCTTCCTCAACTCCTATCACTTGTGTTCCCACAGATCTTCCCCTTTTCTCCCCATTCCCACACACCTTGCTTTCTTTTTCTAATCTTCCGTTCCAGAAGGAACCCCCCGCTAAGCTAAGGTTCCTGTGAACATACCAGCTGTATAGGACAGGATAATAAGCAAAACACAGCCATCACACTCTCTAAAACTCTTCTGAGGAAACACAAAGCAAGAAACAAATCACAAATCCAACAAAGATAAATACAGAAACCAGAGCCTAGACGTATAATAACTCCCAAATCAGAGACATAGATGCAATTGTAAAATATAATTAATAATCATGGCTCCACTAAAATGTGGTTATCTTACCATTAGAGACTCTTATTATTTCAACATAGCTGAAGCTCAAGAAACTTATCTTATAACCACCTGTATGAAAATAATATAGGTCCTTAAGGAAGAAATTGGTAAATCCTTTAAAGAAATCCAAGAAAACACAAACGATTGGAGGGAATGAATATATACCTTAAGGAATTCAAGAACACACAAACAAACAGAGGAAAAAACAAAACTGCTCAAGAGATGAAAATGAAAATAGCATAAAAAGAAAACACAAATGGATGGAAATCTGGAAATGAAATTTTAGGAATTTGATCAGAAACAATCAAGGAAAGCTATTGATATCTCTCAGTATCAAAAGACTCAATTCCGTAGTAAAAAGACACAGATGATGAGAATGGACTCAAAGTCAGGTTCCATTCTTTTCCTGCATACAAAAAGCACAACTCAGCATCAATGGTCAAGGGTTGGAAAAAGATATTTCAACCAAATGGTCCTAAGAAGCAAGCTGCTGTGGCCATTTTAATATCTAACAACATAGACTTCAAACCAACATTAATCAAAAAATTGAGAAGGACACTACATACTTATCATAGGAAACATAATCTCCCAAGATGATATTTCAATTCTTGATATCTATTCTGCAAACACAATGACACTCATTTTTGTAAAAGGGGTACTACTGCAGCTGAAATCACATAATGACCTTTACACACTAAGAGTAGAGGACTTACATATTCCACTCCCACCAATGGACAGGTCATCCTGACAAAACTTGAAGAGATAATACTGGACATAACAGGCATTATAAACAAAATGTACGTAATATAATTCCAGAACATTTCACCAACACACAAAAGAAAATGTCTTCTTCCTAGTTCCTCATGAAACTTTCCCAAAAATTGACCACCTACTCAGAAAAAAAAAAAAAGAAAATTTCAACAAATAGAAGTAAAGTGAAATAACTATATATATCCTATCATGGATTAAAGGTAAATATAGCAAGAACAGAAACAAGATAAAACTTATAGGTTCATGGAAACTAAACCACACTGCATTGAATGGTTACTGGGTCAAGGCAGAAATGAAAAAAGAAATTAAATACTTCCTAGATTTTCATGAAAATGAATACAAAACATACCCAAAATTATGAAATACATGAAAGCATTGCAAACGAAGAGTTCATAACAGTAAGTGCCTCGATAAAAAAAAATAGAGAAATTTTATACTAGCAACTTGACAGCACATCTGAAAACTATAAAATAAAAAAAGCACACTCAAGAGGATAAAACAGCAAGAAATAATCAAAATGAGGGCTGAATTAAATAAAATTGAAACAAAAGGACAGTTCAAAAAATCAATATAAAACAGTTGGTTCTTCAAGAAAATTAACAATATAGAAGAACCTTTGCCCCCTCCGTCTGACTCCTTTCCCTCTTTGACCACATAACATCTCCCAGCCCAGCCTGTTCGGGCTCTAGGACCGAATCCGAATCGGCAGGGCAAACGGGAGGGCACTAGCTCCTTTGTCCCCACTAGCCTGCCTGCAGCGAGCTAGGTAGGTCCTTTGTTTACGAGATAGGCAAGCAGCAAGGAGACCCAGTCCAGGCACCAGGAGAGACATCACTGGGGTGAGTGAGTTTCTGACCTTGGCAACAGCCCAGGACAGGGAACTCAGACACCCCTCCTACACTTCCTGGTAATCCTCAGGGGCTACTCTGCCCGATACTTCCTCTCTCTTCCTATCCACCCAGCTTGCATCCACAACCCTCCCCGCCAACGTCTGACTCCCTTCCCTCTTTGACCACATAACATCTCCCAGCCCAGCCTGTTCGGCTCGAGGACCGAATCCGAATAGGCAGGGCAAACGGGAGGGTGCTAGCTCCTTTGTCCCCGCTAGCCTGCCTGCAGCAAGCTAGGTAGGTCCTTTGATTACAAGTCACCCAAGCAGCAAGGAGATCCGAACCCCGCACCAGGAGAGACATCAGGCTTGCATCCACAACCCACCCAGAGCGGTCCTGAGGAGTTCCATCTGGACGGTAGTCCAGGTTTGGGTGCTGAGGAGTTCCAGCTCAACGGGACGGTCCCTGCTTCTACACTGAAAAGATACACCCAGAGACTCATTCACAGCAAAGACTGGACCAAGACACCAGGCCTCTCCTGGCTCCATTTGAAGGAGGAGATGGGAAGGCGCCAATGCAAGACTTCCTCCAACAACCTGAAAGGCAACATGACTTCACCAGAATCAAGGGATCCCGAAATAAGAAGAATTGTACACCCTACTCCAGAAGAATTAGAAGAAATCGACTCAAAAGTGAATTATATGAAAATAATAGAAGACCTTAAGCAGGAGGTGAAAAACTGCCATAAACAATTAGAGATTACAAACAAAAAGGTAGAGGAAATGAATAAATCGCTTAAAGATACCCAAGAAAATCAAGAGAAACATGAAAAAGCAATCAGACAGGTACGGGAAGCAGTTCAAGACTTGAAGAATGAAATGGAAGTAATGAAGAAAACACAAACCGAGGGAAGATTGGAGATGGAAAATCTGGGTAAACGAACAGGAACTACAGAGACAAGTACTACCAACAGAATACAAGAGATAGAAGAAAGAATATCAGATACTGAAGATACCATAGAGAAAATAAACACACTGATCAAAGAAAACAGCAAAACCAACAAATTCTCATCACAAAACATTCAGGAAATATGGGACACAATAAAAAGACCAAACCTAAGAATAATTGGAGTAGAAGAAGGAGAAGAGGTGCAACTCAACGGCCCAGAAAATATATTTAATAAAATTATAGAAGAAAACTTTCCCAACCTAAAGAAAGATGTACCTATGAAGGTTCA